TATCCAAGGATTTAATTACTTGGTCATAAAAGGCAATCAGGTTGGTCAGGCAGGACCTGTCTTTGGTGAAGCCATGCTGATTGCCCCCGAGCAAGATCTCCCCTGATGGCCCCCTACAGACATGCTCCGTGATGATTCTGTCTGAGATCTTCCCGAGCACCAAGGTGAGGCTTACGGGCCTATAGTTACTTGGGTCCTCCTTCCTCCCTTTCTTAAAAATTGGGACCACATTAGCTACTTTCCAATCCTTTGGCACCTGGCCAGATGACCACGAATGCTCATACAGCCAGGCCAAAGGCTCCGCGATAACCCCTGCCAGCTCCCTCAACACCCTTGGGTGCAGGGCATCTGGACCTGAAGATTTAAAAATGTCCATCCCTTCCAGAAGATCCCTAACTACATCTGCGTTGACCAAAGGCCTGACAGAGCTATCCCCAAGATTGTCCCTACCTCTGGTAGGTGGGATGTCCCGGTCCCTGTTCAAGAAAACAGAGGCAAAGAAACTGTTAAAAATATCAGCTTTCTCGTCTGGCGTAGCCGCAAGATTACCATTTGAGTCTTGCAGGGACCATACATTGCCTGGTGCCCTCTTCTTGCTCCCAATGTACTTGTGATAGCCCCTCCCTTCCACTGGTTGTACGCCCCCCTTTTAGTCCTTAGGCATTCCTGAATGTCCTTGCTGAGCCAAGGCGGTTTCTGAGCACTCTTACCCGCCTTGCTTCTCTCAGGGACTGTTACCCTTTGGGCCTGGAAGATTGTCCCCTTAAGGTACGAGCATCCCTCATGGACTTCCACGTCCTCTACCTTCTGGGCCCTCAGTGCCTCCCCCACTAATCTCCAAAGCTCATTGAAGTTGGCCCTTCTGAAGTCAAGGGCTTTAGTCTTGCTGAAAGCCCTTGACACCCTCCACTGGATAGTGAATTCCAGCAGGTGATGATTGCTATTGCGCTTGGTGGTCAAGGACCTGCAGTCCCCTCACCAGGTCATTCCCCGTGGCCAGGACCAGGTCCAGCAAGGCATTACCCTTAGTGGGGCTGTGCACCTCCTGGATAAGGTGAAGGTCCTGTAATACAGCCAGGAACCTACGCGAGCAGTCAGTCCTGGCTGTCTGCTCCTCTTAGTAAATGTCTGGGTATTTTAGGTCACCCATGGCAATAACCTCCCTTGACCTAACCGCCTCCATAAGCTGACCGGAGAAGTCCCGGTCCAGCTCTTCCCCCTGGTTGGGTGGTCTGTAGTTGACACCCACTGCAAGGTCCCTTTCTCCATGCCCCGCTTGTAGTTTGACCCACAGTGTCTCCGCCCGACCCTCCTCTAACCCGAAGCTGATCCTTGATGTTGTGAGGTGCTCTTTGACATACAGCGTGACCACCCCCCCCCACCTTTCCTCTCTGTTCTGTCACTTCTATATAGGGTGTATCCCTGAATGCCCACCGCCCAGTCATGGGTGGGGTCCCACCAGAGTTCTACTTGATGATGTAGAAGCCAACAAGGAACAGTTTTGCTGCACTCTTGACAAAGTCCTGACTGCCTCTGTCAAGGAAGACAAGCTCAGCCCCATGGATGACTTCACCGCAAGAGTTGGGTGACTTTCTGAACTTTGGAGTGGCATGATTGGGAAAGAGGGGGTGGGGAAAATCCATTCCAATGGTATCCTCTTCCTCAGCAAATGTGCAGCGCATGACTTCGTCATCAGAAAATACTGTCTTCAGACAGTGACAGATATAAGACCACTTGGAAAGACCAACACTCCAATGACTGGCACCTTCTTGACTATATTATTGTCAGAGCTCATGATCATACCAATGTCCATATCACCCAAGTCCTGAGAGGTGTAGATGACTGTTGGACAGACCACCATTTAGTCAGATCAATCATGGATATGCAGCTTGCACAACAACACTGTAAACAACCGAAAGGAATGTGGAAGAGATTTAGCATCAAGGCACTCCAAGACCAAGGTAGACATGAGTCTCTTCAGCAATGCCTGACTGAGAGGCTCTCTGACCTACGTGACAACATCAAGGACATGTGCGCACATTGGGAAGAATGTAAGAATGTTATTCACAAGGCACGTGATACATCCACTTACAGTCACCAGGATTGGTTTGACCAGTATAATGAGGAAATCCTAGCACTTATCCATCAGAAGAGAACCAGATTCTGCAGTTGGCAAAATGAACTCTCCAACCAGCAAAAACAAGAGGCTTATCACTCACTGTTCAGAGTTGTTCAGAGGAGCCTACAGGATATCAAGAACCAGTGGTGGCAAGTGAAGGCCATGGAAATCCAGAGTTTCACCAATCAACATGACATGAGAAGCTTTTTTTAAGTAATAAAAGTCATCCACAGGCCATGTTCCAGTGTCCCAACCCCCTTGTGATACCCAGATGACTCCACCCTTCTCACAGATATTGTATCCATCAAACAATGCTATAAGGAGCACTTCAATATTCTACTCAAATGTGAATCTCATGTCTCATATGCCATCATCAAGTCCATCCCTCAACACCCAGTAATAGAATCTCTTGCTGATCCTCCCCGTCCTTCAAGGAAATCTGGTGTGCCATCACTCAGACCAGGAACAATAAGGTGCCAGGACCAGATGGCATTCCCACAGAGATCTCCAAAGCTGGTGGAATAGCACTAGTGCAAAAACTTCACCAACTTATCAAAATATGGGTTAATGAGGAAGCTCCACCCGACTTAAAGAATGCGAATGTGGTGACCATCTTCAAGAAAGGGGACAAGTCAGTGTGTGGAAACTATGAAGGCATTGCCTTCCTCTCCATTGCTGAAAACATTCTTACTCCCATCCTTCTGAATCGCCTCCTCCCCCTTGCCAAAGATGTCCTTCCAGAATCCCAGTGTGGCTTTAGACTATCACGGGGTACCACTGACATGATTTTTGTTGCATCATAGATCCAGGAGAGGGCAACACAAGGAGCTGTTTATGGCATTCATTGACCTAACCAAGGCCTTTGACACCATCTATTGTGAAGCCTTATGGAAGGTGCTGGCTAGGTTTGGTTGTCCACTGAAGTTCATCAGCATCCTCAAGCTACTCTGTGGTGGGATGACCACCACAGTCCTTTGCAATGAATAGGAGATGGACCCATTTACCATCTGTACTGGTGTCAAGCAGAGCCGTGTCATTGCCCCAACCCTTTTCTCCTTCTATCTTGCTGTGATTTTGATTCTCATCCATGACTGCCTTCCTCCTGGAATTGGGGTTGAGTATTGAATGGACAGTTAGCTTTTCAACCTGCAGTGCCTTGACAACAAAACAAAAGTTACCAAGACTGGTATCACTGACCTTCAGTACACTGAGGACTGTGTTATCCTCGTGCACACTGAGATCTATCTGCAGACCACCCTTGACCTTTTTTCAGGTGCCTATCATAGCCTGGACTCTCCCTTAATATTGGGAAGACCAAGGTGCTCCACCAGCACAAGCTGTCCTTCTCCCCTCACAAATTGCCATTGGTGGAGAACCTCTGGAAAATGTTGAGCATTTCTCATACCTTGGCAGCCACCTCTCCCAGTCTTGATGTAGAAATCGAACATTGGATTCACTGTCCTGTATCCTTTGGTAAGTTTCTTTGCCAACTGAAATCTACAGATGGAAACTAAGATCCTGGTCTACAATGCAGTGATTATCCCCACGCTCCTCTACGGGTGTGAGATGTGGGTGACATATCAAAGCCATCTTAAGCCCATGGAATAGTTCCATCAGCGATGCCTCAGGAAGATCCTTCATGTTAGATAAGAAGACAACTATGCCAGTGCCAACATCCTTTCTGTAGCCAATATAACCAGCATTGAAGCAAAGATCATGAAATATTAACTCCGCTGGGCAAGCCACTGTGCGCAGATGGCTGACACTCATCGCATGAAGCAAGTCCTCTTCTCTCAACTCAGTCATGGTAAGAGGACCCATGGAGGACAGAGGAAGCGCTACAAGGACCCCGTGAAAGCATACCTTAAGAAGGGTGGTATCAACCTTACAAACTGGGAAGTGCTGGCTGGCAACAGGTCTCAATGGTGCTGCACCATACATGAAGCTGCAGTCCACTTCAAAGTGAACCATCTTGCTCAGGAAGCTGAGAAATGACAGAGGAGGAAAGAAAGCACACATATAATGAGGGGGGGCACGTGCCACCGGATCTGTGCGGCACAGGGAAGGCTGCAGCTGCCAGCTCGAGCCAGTTCTGCACTAGGCTGTTCTCAGTGGGGGCTGGGCTCGGAGTGGGCTCCGGCAGCGGTGGGAGGAGGCTGCAGCCATCCCAAATTTCACTGCAGCTCTGCTCCCAGCCCCTGTACCGCCACCTGCCAGCTGGTGGAGTCCCAGCTGAACACGCTGCCTTCACCTAAACACCAGGAAAAGCCAGGGCTGCGCCAGCCAGTGAATGGCAGCACAGGGCTGGGAGCGGAGCTGTGGCGAAATTTGGGGTGGCTGCAGCCTTCTCCCAGTGCTGCCAGAGCCCACTCCGAGCTCAGCCCCTGCTGAGAAATGCCCCACGCAGCACTGGCTCTGGATCTGGCTCTGGCTCCACCCCACAGGTCCAGCCCATGCCGTGCCATGCAGATCTGTGGGCACGTATTTCCCCCCGCCCTCCTGGCGTGCAAGCAGTGGCAGGAGCTGCCCCCACCCCCCAAGCCACACCACCCTCCCATACCTCGCCTTCCCTCTGGCCCCGACTGGGTAGTGCCTGCCCCTGCCCCTTTCCTGTGAGGGGTGTTGATTTCCCCTCCCACACCCCTTCCCTCACCCCTCCCCTTCTGATTTACCAGCTGAAGGCAGCTCTCCACACTGCCGGGTCTGCTCTGGCTGCACACAGCAAGGCATTTATTGGCCAAATTATTGGCCCCATTGGGCTGATATCTGATATAGACAATATTCTTTTTATTGGTACCAATCCAATATTGGATTGATATATTGGTGCACCTCTAAAAATTAGATGAAGTAGTCATAATGGTTCCTGCTTATCTTAAAATCTGTGACTCAATCTCTCTCATTTTTTCAGGCTGATAAGGAAATCATACCTGGAGATAGCACTATTGTATTTTCATCTGGCTAAATGTAAGGAAGAGGATTCACAGAGAGTTAACAGAACATCCAAAATAAAGGTATGTAATGCATATTTTCAGTAGTAACATCCTCAGAGCAGGAAACATGGTTTATTCTAGTACGTGGTGTACCTTACTGCAATATGAATTACAAATAAGCAATACTAATAAACAGTAGAACAGCAGAATTATATTTTGGCTAACTTGGTTTGTGGCATTTTTGGAAGTGTGGATGTTATATGTAAAAGTGATTTAAAACCATCAGGAAAACATCAGAAAAACATAAAGATCAAAAGACCCCAAAAGCATATCTTAGTTTCAGATTGTTTACTGATTAAGTAGTGATTCTGAGACCAAGCCAGAGATTATCAGTTGAATTTTAAGCATATATGTCGGTATTCCAGACTGTAATTTCTTGATGTATATATAAGTGACAGCATGGAACAGATGCATGATGCAAGCATAATGCATGGTAGCCACATACATGAGACTATCAGGGCAGCATAGGACAACTAAGTACAGGGGAAAAAACAGAGAGAAGTTGCCTTCTAAAACTTCAGGGTGGCTGAGAAAAATAGAAAAATGTACATGAAAGCTATGTAAAAAAATCATGAGTTGTGGGCAAATATTTTATAATAAAAAAGGAGACAGTTAATATTAGTTGGGTTGTTTCTATAAAATTATCTGTGACTTTATAATTGTTGATAATTTCTACAACTTTGTTATCATAATTCCATGAGGATTCCATGCCTAAATATATATTAACACGATGAACCTATCAACCTGATTATAAATTGTTCCTAAATTTTAGCCTCTTACTAAAGAATACCTTTTTACTGAGAAAATTCCACATATATCGGAAGTGTACAAAGCACAGGCCTGGATTGCAATAAGAGCAGCCATGCAGGTTAGTGTGATATTTTGGGAAATTTTATGTCCTTGATTTTATCAGATTCTACTTCTACCAGATGTCAAGACAACACAATACAGGAGATACAAGAATTTAAATATCCTGGGACGTCTGCCAAGAATCTTTTGGAACAGCTAAAATGTACACAGTGTGAACAGTGCTTTTAATCTCTACTGTCCAGAGCTGACACTGTTTGCTTCTACTTCGCTTTAGTGCAAATATAGAATTGCAGTGTCTGATGTGTGCACATATATTTGATGTATGGGTAGACATCAGCAGCATCCAGGTGAAGGTGCCTGATTTGAAATCACTTGTGTGGTAATTAAGATGTCGACAGTAATGATTTATTTAACTGTGATATGCACTGTATGTCAGATAGAAATGGACTATTTCCCTTCCATCTCTGTTAAAATTATTCTATATTGAGTGTTTCAGTTTTTCATTCTTAGTGGGCTTACCTCAAATTTTAAAATATGTGTAAATATTACAGTGAACTGATGCTAAATAAAATCAATATTAATTTTAGGTCAGTGAAGCTACCGTTGCTTCTCAGCTATTAATTGGAAGGAACACTGCTAAAGGACATGAAGTGAAGGATGTAGTCCAACAGAGAATTCCAGAATTTGCTTCTTTGGATCTTCTTGCCTCATACGAAGACTTTTTGTCTGGTATTCCTTTATATCTAACAAGTTTAAAGCATTTAATAAGGAATGAAAAAATCTACAAATTAAATAGTTAATCTACTAGCTAAGCGCATATGATTTTTGGTAGAAAGTGTATCTCATTCCGTCTTGCAATTATTTGCAAGATTGCCTGACATAGTGGTAAATAGGACATGAAGATGAGCACACATACTGGCCCAGTCCATTCTTGTAGGAGCAGGACAAGTTAGACTCTTAATGTTTTCTCCTAATGCCACAATACTCACTGTGAGTCAGAGCTACATAGTAACCATAGTAAGAAAGGGATGTGGAGAACCTAGTTAGGACATTTCTTAACCCACCATCATCTTATCCTTATGATTGAGTCACAAAAAAGAATCAAGAAGGTGAGGACCTACACAATTCCTGCATTAACAGTTTTTACAGGGGCTCAAACAGGGTGGAATGGTGTCGGTGTTTGCACACCTGTAGCAGGACACTAAGGTGCCTGCTACTCTCAGAGCAGAGGCAGGAACTCAGGTGCCGGTTGCCGGGACAACCGGTTAAGGAGGGAATTGGCCGCACCTGCGCCTGGTCAGCTGACCAGAAGGGGCAGGGCCTGGCTCCCACATAAATCCCAAGTCTAAGGCCAGGAGGGCAGTTCCCTGCTGGCAGCCAAGGCGGAAGGGAGCTCTGCCGGACAAGCGAAGGGGAGGGGCCTGACTGCTCGACCAGCTCCTGATGCTGTTAAGGGGCGGAGTATCCCCCGGTAGGGATTGAATGATGTATTAGCTGAAAGATGTTTTAGCTGGGGAGTTTGGATTTTTGTTATAGCCGAGGGGCTTGTGTTTTGTGTTTTTGCTGTTTGAACCGGCAGTTTGGTTGAGGCTAATAGGGGATGGAGGAGGCCTCATAGGGGACCCGCAGCAGTGTGGGAACCCCAGCCCCAGAGAGCAGGGGCAGCGAGACAGAGCGAGACAGGGCTGTGGAAAGCCCAGGGAGGACAAGGGGAGAGCCAAATTATAACGAGGCCCAGATTAAACCACATCCGTATCACCTGCGAGGCTTGGGCTGCGGTGTAGGGGAGGAAAAGGAGCCCCAGATAGCGCCCCCTGGCACCGAGGCAATAAATGGGCAGCTTCTCGCTAATTAACATGCATTAATTAATTAAGATCAAGGCGTGGCAGGTGAGAAAGCGGGTGGTTGCCCCATAACAGGAGGGCCCAGTCACCAATAGACGGACTTCAGAAGAGGCACTCCTGCCACAACACCTCACCGGCATATTGCACATTAATTCCAGCCACTGTAGGAAATTCGGCAGCATAATGCACCTTAAATGACTTGGGGCGCAGCAAACTAAAACTCCTCCTCCGAGTTTTACTTTGCTGCCCCTATAGCTGCGGAGTGAAGCACCGGGGTGTGTGCAGCTTCGCAGCTTAGCAGGAAGCCCTGCAGGCAGCCTGGAAGCAGCTCAGGAAAGCAGGCTGTGCCCAAGAAAAGCAGCAAGCCTGATCTTTTTTTTTTTTTTTTTTTTTCCCCTGGAGCCTGCTTGAGCTGCGTGGGGGCCTGGCGCTTCCCTCCACAGCTGCGGTGCCTGGGTGGGGAGGGGGCGCTGCTGCTGTGTAGGTGTGGAAGAAAGCACCAGCCCCGCTTGCAGCCCAGGGACCTCTCTGCTCATGGACAGATTCCCCTCCCCTCCCTCTGCCGGAGAGGCAGGTAAGTTGTGTGTGTGCACGACACCGGGGTTTAATTGGCCCTAAATCGAAGCAGTGTTTTTAAAAACCCACCACTTCAATTTAGGGCCCCTGTTTTATAGATTCATGTTTCATAGTTGTTAGGGTTGGAAAGGACCTCAATAGATCATTGATTCTGACTCCCTGCCCTGGGCAGGAAAGAGCACTGGGGTCAGATGATCCCAGCTAGGTGCTTGTCCAGTCTCTTCTTGAAGACCCCCAAGGCAGGGGAGAGCACTACCTCCCTTGGAAGCCCATTCCAGACTCTGGTAACCCTTACTATGAAGAAGTTAATTCTAATGTCCAACCTAAATCTGCTGTCTCAATTTGTGGCCATTGTTCCTAGTTACTCCAGGGAGTGCCCTAGTTAATAGAGCATCTCCTATTCCCTGCTGCCCTCCCTTGATGAATTTATAGGCAGCTACAAGATCACCTCTCAACCTTCTCTTGTGAAAGCTGAAGAGAACTAGGTCCCTCTGTCTGTCCTTGTGGGGCCTGCAGGCCTCTGACCATATGAGTGGTCCTCCTGTTAACCCCCTCAAGATTCTCCGCATCCCTCTTGAAGTGCGGTGCCCAAAACTGGACGCAATACTCCAACTGCGACCTGACCAGTGCCGCATAGAGGGGAAGCATCACCTTCCTGGGCCTGTTCGTCATGCATCTGCTAATGCATGATAGCGCGGTTAGCCTTGCAGAGTGGAGGGGAGCGAAACTTCCCTTCCACTCTAGAAACCACCTTGGCCTGGGAGCACTTGCAGAGACTAGACAAGGGTGCAGTTGTCCTAAGCAAGCACCCTCTTGGGGAAACCCCATGATACTGAACCTAAGTCTTCATTTCTATTTGATTTTTAGCATTAGGCAGACTTCCAGCATGTGAACTGTGATCCCTGGCTGTTTTTTGGTGATACGCACACATGTGGAGCAAGAACTTCATTGAAACCATCAACCAGTTTTTGTTTTCTAAATCAACAGATGATATTTGAAGCAAGATAAAAAACTATTAACCCATCCCATAAAAGGTAAGATTCAATATTTTCTCAATCTACATTGAGACAAGACCTTTGAAGATCAAGTCTTTGGTCTGAATCAAAAGGGCTTGAACACAAATGTTTAACATACTTGGTATACCCTAATACAGGGCTCTTGGATGCTGATTAAGTTAACCTTCTTCTTGGATTTAGAAATGAAATTCCACCCCTTTTGAAATCGTATATATTTATGTTCTTATTTAAATAAATACTTAAATAAAAAGTTGAATTAGAAATCCCTGATAATCAGAAATCATAATAATTTTGGCCACCGATCTAACCTAAATCCAAGCTGAAGGTTTCAGTGTATATTCTAAACCCCTATACTGTGAAGAAATCCCCGTCTATCTGCCCCTTTCTTGGGTCATTTCAGCTGGAACACCCCCCCGCCCCCCCCGCCCTTGCTTTCTGTTTGGTTCAGGCTGGTCAACTGGGTCACCTTGCCAGATAAATTCCAGAGAGTAGAGGGGAGCTCGCTCTTCCTCTGCCAGGCATTTTGAAAAGCCACAAGCAAAGTGCCTCCAGGCTGCAGCCTGGATGAATTCCTGTAAGTATAAACTTGGGAATTAGCTAGGAGTTAGGATTAATGTCTAGGCAGATGTGTGTTAAAAGGATTATTATGTCCAAGACTGCATAAGACTCTGATTGCTTATGTTTGCTCAAAGTGTATTCTGACTTCCTTGTTCTATACCCTCCCCTCCCCGATCTGTAAATGTATTGGGTTACACTATGTCTTGCTGTATTGCTGTGGAGCGGGGAGAGGAAAGCCTTTTTGCTCCTAGCCTGCCCAGCAGAACTTGCCTGGTTTTGTTCCCTCAGTCCTACCTGATGTTATCCTGGGATGCTTCAGGCTGAAAGAGGCACCAATAAATATTACCACTGGGCAAAGCACACCCCAGGCTTGCAGGATCTGTGTGCCCAGGCTGCACAAAGTCCTAATAGAGACCAGTGCCTGGGTGCTGGCAGTGCTATCCGAGGCTTGTGGGTGTTCTCCAGGAAACGGACAGTCAGCTGTAGGCACCCTGTGGAAGACTCCCAAAGTGAGGTTTTTGGGTCTGGCACAGTGAGACAGGTGGCTCTGTGTAGTAGCAACCCCTACTGTGTCATCAAATATACAAGGGTTTTTTTTTTCTACATAGTGCAATTCCAGTTACTGAAGTGTTCTGAGAAGTGATTTATATAGACATGCAATCAGAAACAAGCCCATAGCACCTTGTCTTATTTCCTCTTTCACCCTTTCAGTTAACTATCTTTCTGTCTGTGACTGTCTATACCTATACCTATCTTTCCACACACCACAGTTATGTTAATGGGTTTTTGGTTTGTCCAGTTGTTTGTTTTAGGGTCAGATTATCTCTGTTTTCATAATTATACATATTATTAATTATCAAGTGGTTTGGGACAGTTAGTCATACTTTGAGTAGTAAGGCTTGATCCAGAGTTTTTGCACATTTTACATGCGCATTTGTGAATGCATGTATGTGTATGCATCGTTGTCTCCCCACATATGTATTATAGTTTCATAGTTGTTAGGGTTGGAAAGGACCTCAATAGATCATTGATTCTGACTCCCTGCCCTGGGCAGGAAAGAGCACTGGGGTCAGATGATCCCAGCTAGGTGCTTGTCCAGTCTCTTCTTGAAGACCCCCAAGGCAGGGGAGAGCACTACCTCCCTTGGAAGCCCATTCCAGACTCTGGTAACCCTTACTATGAAGAAGTTAATTCTAATGTCCAACCTAAATCTGCTGTCTCAATTTGTGGCCATTGTTCCTAGTTACTCCAGGGAGTGCCCTAGTTAATAGAGCATCTCCTATTCCCTGCTGCCCTCCCTTGATGAATTTATAGGCAGCTACAAGATCACCTCTCAACCTTCTCTTGTGAAAGCTGAAGAGAACTAGGTCCCTCTGTCTGTCCTTGTGGGGCCTGCAGGCCTCTGACCATATGAGTGGTCCTCCTGTTAACCCCCTCAAGATTCTCCGCATCCCTCTTGAAGTGCGGTGCCCAAAACTGGACGCAATACTCCAACTGCGACCTGACCAGTGCCGCATAGAGGGGAAGCATCACCTTCCTGGGCCTGTTCGTCATGCATCTGCTAATGCATGATAGCGCGGTTAGCCTTGTTGATCACTTGGTCACATTTACGACTCAGGTTCATCTTGGAGTCAACTATGACTCTAAGATCCCTTTCTGCTGCTTGTGCTGCTGACAAGGTCATCCCCCAGCCGTTAAGTGTGTTGGTGGTTCTTTTTGCCCAGGTGTAGCACTT